TCACGATGCTGGAGGCTGTTCAGTCAGAAAGGGTTTAACCAGGTAACCTCGCCAGCAGTGGCGGCAACTTACGCACGAGCAACCCCTAAATCCATTACACATACGTATCCATGTTTGTTAACTGATGTTGTTAAACGATTTTTTATTTTTAAAAAAACTTTAGACTGAGTTTTAGCACACATGAAAAACTTAAAACAAATCCTTATTTCCTGAGGCATAGCCTTTGGACTATAATGTAACTTAAATAGAAAACTATCTTTAGATTTTCCCTTCAAAAGCTTTTTATTTTAGAAATCCAATTTAAATTTTTAAAAATCCAATTTAAATTTTTAAAAAATCTGATCATTGATTTTTATCCACCCTGGTCTATAGCCGTTTTGTGATATGGGAGAAGCACAAATTGCTTAAAAGAAGTCAATTTCCCTGGGCATAATTGCCAATCTCTTGGTCATATATGAAGCAGGTCTTTGGATTGTAACCATAAACTAGACTTCTTAAAACACGCGTTAGCACCAGAGATTAATCTACAGTGATTTCCACACAGTAGTTAAAAAGGAAAGAAATGTATTTGCTTTATTTTTAAAATATTTTTAAAAATAATTTATTTACAACATAGTCCACAACAACTCATACATACAAACAAACCCACCACCACTGACAATTTAATTATAAAATTTAAACTCCTATCCCCTTACATAAAGAAAACAAACATAAAAATAAAAGACTTCCTTTATCCTGTAAATGGCCTCCTTATTTACTTCTTGTATACTGTTTCTTTTATATGTGATTAAAGTGGACGCTCGGGTTGTGAACGTAATCTGTGCGCGAGGCGCGTTCGCAACCCGCAGCGTTCGCAACCCGCAGTGGCGCGTCTGCGCACGTTGCAATTCGGAGATTCTGCGCATGCGCAAAGCACGATTTAGCACTTCTGCGCATGCGCAACCACTGAAACCCGGAAGTAACCCGTTCCGGTACTTCCGGGTTTCGGCGCATCCGTAACCTGAAAAAACGCAACCTGAAGTGTTTGTAACCCGAGGTATGACGGTATTACAATTTTTCCTAGTTATGACTTAAAAAACTGCAAAGTCTCCTGTAGAAATTAATTGAAACAAGTCCAGGTATATATTTTGGGTCACTGTTTGGTAAAGTAATCTCTGCACTTTCCCCATTCTTTTTGAAATTCTTGTCTGGGTTGTCCAAATGTCTTTGCTTTTTAAGAAGAACAAGAACCCACAACAACTAGGATGTGGCTGCTTTGGCGGAGCAGCTTTCATAAAGTTTGTTATAACGGACCTGTCAGAAAGCAGAGAAAACTATCATTCCAGTAATTTACTTTTATGTTCTGCTGATGCCAACATTTAAATTTCTAGTTGGATTCAATTGGGTATGTGAAGAACTGCCTGTTAAGTTATGATTGCAAAGCCTCAGAATTGAGGCCTGGGTGAATTTAGCCTTGTGCAATGTATATGTTTAGGCTAATAACACCATTGCCCAATGGAATGTGCATAGGAATGTGCAAGTACAAGCAGTAGGTACAATACCAAAATCAAGCGGAAATAAAACATCCTATATCCTTTTCTTCTTCAAATGGGTACAGAAAGATTTCTCTAGTGGCTGTGTGAATACATGAAATGTCAATAAAAAAATCAAAACCAGATTATATTTACCAAAAGCAGATTAAGGAAATGTTGTGCACAGAACACTACTCACCCTTGTTGACAGCAGCAGTGAATAAATCAACATTAACAAGTGGCCAGCAATGAATTTTCACAATTCACTATTATTAAAGGTAAAAATACCCCTGACCGTTAGGTCCAGTCGCGGACGACTCTGGGGTTGCGGTGCTCATCTCGCTTTATTGGCTGAGGGAGCCAATGTTTGTCTGTAGACAGCTTCCAGGTCTTGTGGTCAGCATGACAAAGCCGCTTCTGGCGAACCAGAGCAGCACATGGAACCGCCGTTTACCTTCCCGCCACAGCCTATTTATCTACTTGCACTTTGACGTGCTTTCGAATTGCTAGGTTGGCAGGAGCAGGGACTGAGCAACGGGCACTCACCCCGTCGCAGGGATTTGAACTGTTGACCTTCCAACTGGCAAGCCCAAGAGGCTCAGTGGTTTAGACCACAGCGCCACCCGTGTCCCTTTCACTATTATTATCACATTGCTTACACAAGCTTTCATATGCTAAGGCTTGTGTGAAGAACCATAGTTCACTTGACCCTGTCCACTGCATGAAAGATACAGAGTGTTCAATACTAAATTCCTTTATGGGCCCCTTTACCCTTGCAGTGGGCAGAAAAGCAAACATGCCTCTGTTGCACTGAAGACCTGCTCAATGTCAAGGGGTGAAATGAGGTGACCCCATATTCTAAAATGGAAGAAACCAATAATTTGGGCAGCATATAACAGATTAAACTGAAGACTTATGGTAATTACCGAACATTGCCAGCACATGAGTACGCAAAACTCTTATGGAGGCCCTTCTTCAAACAATTGCACCTCCAATAACTAACAGGAGTCCCACATATTGCACATGGGTGGATACATTGTGTTGATCAGCCCACAAGCATTTAATCCAGAACTGCTAACCCCACAGATAAGCAAACACTCAGTATAGCCATTTGTGCAATGAAAAACTACAATCCTCCCCTTTTCCCGCAGTGAATTATAAAAATAAAACATCAGCTAAAGCTCAAAGAGTATGATGAGGCAACCAATCTGCTTTAAGTACTCTTAAGTAAAAAACCAGAACAACCTTCAAGGAAGTAATATTTTATCCAAAATAACCCTTGTCTTTTTAGTACAGTCACATTATTGAGTCTCCTGATTTTCTCTTTCTCCATTTTGTGCACATTCCATGCCCCCACCCCTAATAGCATGCCATCGTTGAGGGGTGAAACTTTCCAGCTTAAGTCCAACAAATACCACTTGTATCTGAACTGGATTTTACAAACCAAGAATTTACGTCTTCCTATTTCTTCTTTATCTCTTATTATCTGTTTTCTGCATATAACCAATGTTGGATGGACATCACTCCTATGCTTTCCTCATCTTCATCGGTAGCCTAGAGAGCTAAACAACATGTCTTATTTTATTTTCTTTCTAACAGCAATAGTAGGCAATCCACTGATTTCCTCTCTCATGAATAGCTGGCTGGTAGAGGTGAGAAAATCCGTTCATTTCACAATCTGAAGTGAAGTGATCCAATTTGCTGGCCCTAGATATATATGCGGTTTGGAACACAGCTATAAATTGGATTACACATTTTTAAATTCTGTGGTGCTGTTTCAGTTTTTAAAATTGCACAAATATAAATTTCATATGGATTTAAGATGGATTGGACCACATGAAAAATGTGCATGGGGGGGCAAATACATATGCATACAATTGAAATGCCGTGTGTGTGTGTGTGTGTGTTTAATGGAACAAAATGAACTTATGATTCAGCACAGGTGAAATTGACTCAGAACAGAAATACATTGATCCATCCATACCTACTGGCTACAGCACTTTGTTTGGCACCAGTTCAAGGTCCAGCACTTTCCCATCCTCAGGAGTATTAACAAAGAGACAGGTAGGTCTCTAGATGCCAAAGCATCCAAAAAGGATCCTCACAATCTTTCCTTCTTTCAGAACATCTATTCCTTTCAACCCATCCTGGAGCATTTCAAAAGCTGTTTGGCTCATCACACTGGTCGGTACCGCAGGACACCCCAAATCATCACAGTTCAGAAGAAAAGGAAAAGGAAACCCCAGACGGCAAACTAATGGAGCAGATGGCTCATTTAATTCAATTTTTTAAAATGCCACTCTTAGGCTTAAAGTCTTAGCACAGAATGCCCAGTGCCTACCAGCTTAATACAGGAAAAATGTGAAGTTTAGGGTTAAATGTTCCCTCTGAAGCGAAGATGCAATCGGAAAAGCCTAACTGATCAACCACATTCTGTAGAACTCTGGCACAAAGGGAAGAATGTTCTGGCCATAACTGGACTCATGTACAGGCAGCAGCACTCAAGGCAAGTGGGACTTTGGTTTCAACATACATTATCATGGCCCAGACATTACTAGAGAGGAATCCTGAGCATCTACCCTGTCACCTCATTATGGAAATAGGTGAGAGTAACACATGTTCTTAACACCATCTGATTTTAAGTGAAGTATCTGCTTGACATTCATGATCCAACTCTATTTTTTCAAGAGTATTGGGAAGAATTAATGTTTTCTATTGTAGTTTCGGGACGCGGGTGGCGCTGTGGGTTAAACCTCAGCGCCTAGGACTTGCCGATCGCATGGTCGGCAGTTCGAATCCCCGCGGAGGGGTGCGCTCCGGTCGTTTGGTCCCAACGCCTGCCAACCTAGCAGTTCGAAAGCACCCCCGGGTGCAAGTAGATAAATAGGGACCGCTTACCAGCGGGAAGGTAAACGGCGTTCCGTGTGCTGCGCTGGCTCGCCAGATGCAGCTTGTCACGCTGGCCACGTGACCCGGAAGTGTCTGCGGACAGCGCTGGCTCCCGGCCTATAGAGTGAGATGAGTGCACAACCCTAGAGTCTGGCAAGACTGGCCCGTACGGGCAGGGGTACCTTTACCTTTTTATTGTAGTTTCAGGAAACCACCAGATTCACACAAACAGGGTACTGATCAGATACTACTTTCTTCCTATGTGATTGTGGGGAGGTTCCAATTGTATTTAGGAAGAATTTTGGCTCTGATGTCTGAACAGGCTTTCATACTTTTTTTATTTACAGTTCTGAAATGGAACTATAAAAAGCAATGAAAAAGTGTCAACCTCACAATGAAGCCATAGATGTCAGAATCGAAAAGCAACCAGATGCTGGATTCTTGCTTCACACTATGGTGTACCCTACATTTTAGGTCTAAGTAACATGCTTTTGCTGTACAAAAACATGAAATCCTTGAAGTCCTATCAAAATAATAGCCAGCTCAATGATAATTGCCTGGCTAACTCACATGGAAAGAAAAACATTCACACAGCAAAAGGAATGGTCAGATCAGCTTTTATTAGACCATGTTGTTGAGTACTAAAGACTCAATCTCAAGTCCAGAAAAACAGCATTACCCTTGCTTATGCAGTAACAACATTTTGAGCTCTGACGGCCTTGCCAGATTTCTTGCCCTTCCCCCTCCTGGTTGATGCGGTGGACTTAGTCTTGGGCAGGGTGTTCCCCTGGGGGAAGGTGATCCCTCCAAGCAGAGAGTGGAGCTCAGCATCATCACTGATGGCTCTCTGTAAGTGCCGGGGGGCAATTCGGCGCTTGTGGTCATTTTTAGCAATGTTCCCAGCTATATCCATAATGTCATAGGTCAGGTACTGAAGCACTGCAGCCATGTACACAGACGATCCTGATCCAATGCGCTCTGCGTAGTCTCCCTTCCGGAGGAATCTTTCAATGCGGCTTACAGGGAATACCAGCCCAGCCCGGCAAGAACGAGATGTTTTCGGCTTCCTCGCATGGCAGGATGGCTCAGCTTCTTCCAAGCTTTCTGTATCACACGGATCATCAGACATGTCGCAGTCCAGCTTGCCACAGCCGCCAACACTTGTTGATCTGGTCCAACTCTTCAAGGTGCTTGCCTTGCTCTGGCAATTCTTACCTTGTTGGATTTTTGCTGTTTTGGAGGGGTTTTTTGGCTGTTCTGCTTTGCTTGCTTCAGTTTTCCTACCCTGCCCTTTTTGGATTTCTTCCTGGCCTTGCAGGTTAAGCTATCATTTGAAAGGCTGCCACAATTAAAAAAATACTGTGCGCAGAGTTTTCCATAGCCTCTTTGCAGTGAAAATAGTGAGTGCTAAATTTGGCTCCTGATAGGCTGGGGTGCTGGCCAATAGGATGCTGTGTGCATTGTTAAATCATTTCTATTATCCCAATGTTTGAGCTGAAATGTCACCCTGTTCATCACACTTCCCTCCATGAAAACCTCTGTTGCCCTTCTCCATGTGCCTCCCCTATGAGAGGTCCAGAGGGTGGCAACATAAGAACGAGTCTTTTCTGCAGTGGCTCCCTGTTTGTGCAATGCTCCTCCTAAGGAGGTTCAGCTGGCACCTTCACTATACACCTTTAGGTGCCAGGTGAAAACGTTCCTCTTTAACCAGGCCTTTGGCCAACTGACATCCAATGTTGTGGGAGGGAGGGATTATTGGTTTGGTTTTGCTCATTTTTTATTATGTATTTCAAGCTTTTATATTCTAATTATTATGTTGTAAACTACTCTGAGATCTATGGATGAAGTGCTGTATGCAAATTTAACAAGAAAATTTTTGGTTACTAAATCAAGTTTGCAAACATTTGACATAGTGAAGAAGGCCAAAGTTGATATGTTCAGCATACAACTTTCAGTCTGATGAGAAGATACCTAGAAAATTGGCCCCAGCTTTATACTCCCCCTCAAAAATTGAAGGTTTATAGGAAAAACCATAAAGGGAAAAAACCTTGACTCTTCAATGAGTCTCACTGCAAAGTTATAAGCAACATTAGATGCATTTCATATACTCAGAACAAGGTAAAAAAATCCAGCTGCTGTGCATGATGCAGTGAGCCCAACTGTCCTAGTGAGACTACACAAACATGTCGGATTCCAGAGAGGAGCTCACAGCTCTTTGCTGCTCCATAGTACTTTTGAGTGCCATACCTCACTGAGGTTTGGCTTAGCGTATTGTCCAAAATACAACTCGTGTACCCTTTATAAGTCAAAGGACACCTGAGGAGCAAACTGGCTGCAAAGGTCCCTTCCAGAAGCACAGGCAGTCTCACTAAGCCATGCCTTGGTTTACTGAGTAACACAGACCATTCTTCTGACAAATAGAAAGGGATTGACATCTATATCAACCACCTCACATATCTAGCTTCAATTTTAAAGCTTGTTATTATAAACTACTACTGCCACCCCCATCCTATTTCCCCCTTTGTGTATTTCCTTAAGATTGTAACCCTTCCGGCAAGGGGTTTGTCGTCAGAATTCAGGGGAAAACGTTTTGATTATTTTAAGCATTAAACAACAATAAGATCAATTAAAATAGTAAAAAGGAGGTGAGTGAGAGGTTTTATCTTAGCAGCAGGGTTAGGAAGGAGGCCTAGTAGAATTGTCTAGGGAGGAAATTCCACAAGGTGAATACTCAAAAACCAACCAACCAACCAACCAACCAACCAACAAACAAACAAACACCCTGCCTCAAGAACATAAGAAGAGCCTGCTGGATCAGGCCAATAGCCCATCTAATCCAGCATCCTGTTCTCAAAGGGCCCACCAGATGCTTGTGGAAAACCTTCAAACAGGAATCAAGCACAAGAGCCCCCTGCTCTCCTGTCTTTTCCAGCAGCTGGTATTCAGAAGCACTGACACTTCCAAACTGCAAAAGAAGAGTGCAGAACAAGGAAGAATGGGCAAGAAAACATACTGGAACAGTTCTAAGACAACCTTTTAAAGGTAACTGCCATAATCTTGAATTGGGTCTGAAAGGAAACACCAATCCAGGTGAGCCAGAACTGGAGCAACGTGCGCTACAGAATTCTGTGTCAGTTGCAGCTAATGGAAGCAAATTCCCTTCTAAGAGAAGGTTAATCTTGTGATACTAAAAGAGAAGATCAAATGAAAACATAAGCAGTTTGGAGAATGTGCAGCAATGCTTTAAAGGGAATAGCAACCAAATATTCACTAACTAAATGACTTGGGGGGTAACATCTGAATTGACACATCATGGATTTGATAGCAGTCTGCAAACCATGGTTTGCAAGCCATCTACAGTTTGCTGTGACGTCTAGACTGGTAGACTTGCTTCACTGGAAGATTAAAGGTCAAGAATTTGTTTAGCAAATATGGCTGGGTCAGTGGAACAAGAGACCAAGCCAAGTTCTGAAATGCAGTCTGGAGAGTCATCTGTCTGTTATGGTTCAGGAGAGATAGCTCTGTTATTAGTAATTTATGACTAAGGGACCGGCCACTAGAAGAATACAAGAAAGCATTCAAGGATTGGCAGCTGTTCCTCCCATCTTGCCCAATGGTGCCTGACACATCCTCTCCTCCCCTCACCCCCCCCCGCTGGACAGACCAGGCCCTTAAAGCGAGATAGAATAGTACTGGTGAAAATCGGCTGTTCACTGAGTGAGAGCATATCTGTGGTGGATGTGGCCAGGGACAGAGTGTACCCTTTAGGCATCATCTGTGGAGGTACGTTCAGCTGACTAATCTCTTTCCTCATCACTTGGCCCTCACACTCCTGACATCATACCTTCCTTTTTACAAAATGGCATGGGGCAGCCTCATGAGGACAACCTGCTTTTCTTCTATAGAAAAGCCACAAACTGATCTAAATACTTTTTGTACATCCCCAATATATGTAATATTTTGCAGAAGAGTGAACGTTGGCACACACAAAAACCAGGCTTTCCAAAACACAAGATTACTTGCATCAAAAATTGTTCACCTTATAACTAACATCTATTCTCTGCATCTAGATATAAAAATCGTTTCTAGCCAAGAACTTTATGAAAACAATGATGTTTTCTTAGCTGGGTTTACAAATTATGTAGAAATGTCAGGCAATGTTATTTTATTCTTAGTGTGTAATACCCCCCCCCAATGTAAAAATGCTTACAATGTTAGGCAGCAACTTGATTGAAGACATTTTGGACTGTTTTTCCTCTGAAACACTAATGAATGGATCTTTATGAGTGGTTTACAAGCTTTGCACATGTGGCCTTAGAGAGAAAATATGCAGTGTGCAACAATGAAACAAGTGTGGTTTACAGACCAGAAATCCTCAACTCAGAATTTCACTTTATTTAAAGAAGGTGCAGCAAAATTCTGCCATAAGAAGGTGTTTAGTCAGGAAGATGATCCTCAAAAAGTGCTTCCTCATCTTGTCTAGGCTACAGCAGCCCCCTTCACCAATATTTTCCTTCAAACTTTACAGTGCAGAGCTCAGAACACATGCTGCCTGATAAACAGCTCTGAGGAACTTGAAAGCTAGGATACTCTTGTGTTAAAAACCAGTTCAACCACTTTAAAGCCTGGCATATGGAAATGCTGAGGGATTTAAAGAAGTTCTAAAAAAAAACCCCACATCCAAATTTAGTTATTATTCTCAGTCTAAAAATATATATGCTGCAGGGCAAACAATAAAGCCTATGCACTTCCACTGAAGGGGAAGGGGAAGAGACAAACATAATTAATTTTCATTTTATTATGAGTTGTAGGATACAAGAATCTGATTGACAGTTATGCTCAGATGTGGTATAACATTTGCTGCACATACCTTGGAAATACTCTTTTATTGTGATTTATTGCCAAGCTTTTAAAACTACACCTGATGAAGTACTCACAGTAATAAGGTTTTAAAATGGCAATCATGCATACATGTTGCAGATTAGCTTTAGTATAGGTACCTTATTTTTATACAGAAGGAAATTTATCTCAAGAGCTGCAATCATTTTTACACAATAAAGAGGAAATTGCATACATGTGATACTCTTCTTTCAAATAAGAGGTATGTGCATCATTTAGATAATCATTTTTTAAAAATAGATTTATCCTAACTTTAGTAACACTATTAATCCTCAACTACTAAACTGGAAGGGGGGCTAATTTTTTGTTTCTCAAGCATCGTAAGTTTATGTTTACCCTAATCCGTACGCATAGCTGTCAACTTACAGATTTGAAAATAAGGGACCAGCAGCCAAAATAAGGGACCTGCAGCCTCACCTGTTCCAGGCACTCCAGTCTTCCTGTCCTCCTGCAGTCTGGTCAAACTCAGGCTGGGTAGCTTCGAAAACACTGTCCAACCAACTTTGTAACCAGAGGTTCAACTGAATAGAATCTGAACCACATGCACCACAAGGCCTATGCAGTCTCAACTTAAGAGGGCTCCCCGGCCTGGCTTTGCACTGCAAAGTTTGTAGCAGCACATGCAACAAAATGCCGTCCAGCATTCAAAAAACCCCTCAGCTTGCATTAACTAGCCACACACAAGGCATGCAAGCTCCACCCCCCAGTCGTTCTTAGACTTCTTATTAGGTGAGCAACACAGCAAAGCAACACAGTTGGAGCATCCCTCCTCCCTGGCCGGCAGGGAGGGAGGGAGGGAGAGGAGCTGCTTCCTTTGAAATTTAAGGGACATCATTTAAGGGACATTTAAGGGACATCCATCAATAAGGGACAGCAGCGGGACATGGCGCTGGAATAAGGGACTGTCCCTTCAAATAAGGGACACTTGACAGCTATGTCCGTACGTTATACTTTCCAGGTTATAGTTTCAAATGTTTAATTAAACAGAACATGAAAAGGGAGGGTGCCCACATTATCCTAACCTACAGTTCACTCTTGGTACATATTTTTCAGTTAAATGCTATCAATGCAAGAAAAATTTAGCTATGTAGTGTTCTACATCAGCTGCCATTAAGTAACAACATGAACATACAGCTTGATCATGCTAGAAATCAATGGCCAAGGCTGACACCAGAAGGTCAAGCATGCAAAGCTGGCTGAAACCGGCGACATGGCAGTTCACACAGGTAAGTTCTTCTTGCATATTGCCATTTTAAAATCAGGTCTGTGCAGAGTCATGTCAGTGGTTCATCTTACTCAGCATTTCTGCTTGCACCGGCTACGGCTCTCCAGAACATCCTTTTCATGTATAGATGCCAATGAGGGAAACCTGTGGCTTCCTATGGGTGAAGTATGTGCTCAACCGCTCCTCTCCTTTAGAACACTTTTGAAACTCTCATTCTTGGCAGTTTGCCTGAAG